TTACGAAAGGTAAGTATTTTTCATTTCTACATAATTTCAGCTTTGAGTAAGGAGTTATTTGAAAGTATGTTTAAATTTCCACTTCCTCACTTCTGTGGTCAGAGAATACAGTCTGCCTGAAATTGATTATTTGATATCTGTTGAGATTTGTCTGGAGGCCGAGTAGTCAATCAGTTTTTATAAATGTTCCACATGTGACTGCAAGTAACTTGTTGGATCCAGGATTACTGTGTTAAAAACCTTCTATATCTTTTCTTTTTTGGCTGCTTGGTCCAGCAGTTACTGAGAGGGTATGTTAAAAATTTCCCAGTATAGAACACTTTGATTAGGATTCTATAGTAGATTTTATAGTAGAATCTTGATCAAAAGGGGGGAAATGTAGAATAGAATTCAATACTCAAGGAATCCAGATTTTCTGGAGCCATGGAGGCTTGATGAACCTCTGAAACTATGCCCTGACATAATCTTTAAACCTTAAACCAAAAACATCCCCTGAAGTCTTCTTAAAACCAAATAACAGTTTAGCTTAAAAGGAGCTCTGGTGACATAGCAGATAAAGCATCTGGCTGCTAACCAGAAGGTTGGTGGTTCAAACCCATCAGCTGCTCCATGGAAGGAAGGTGGGGCGATCTACTTTTGTAAAGATTTACTGCCTTGGATTTGGAGGGGAAAAAAAAAAAAAAAAAAGGGGGGGACCCGGTTTGCTGGTCCGATAGAGCCTAGTGGAACCACTGAGACTATGGCCCCTAGCTGCCCTTCAGGTCTGGAATTGAACCCACACCTGTGGTTTCCAGCCAAACAAAAGACAGACATATGAGTTAAACATTTACCTCAAGTAGATACACTCCTCGGAGAGAACAATCATGGGAGAAAGAAGGGCTGCTTATGCACAGGGAGACAGCTCAGGGGGCAGGAGTGTATGGAGGGATGGACACAGGGAAGAGGTAACTATGGGGAGCAGGTGGGAGGGGAGCTTATTGCATTCTGGTAAACTGTGGTCAATGACATGAGACAAAGTATATGTGAACTGCTGTATGGAAAGTGAATTTGCTCTGTAAATCTTCACCCAAATCACAATTAAAAAAAAAAAAAGACTTACTGCCTTGGAAATCCAATGGGGACAGCTATGAGTAGGAATCAACTCAATGGCAGTGAGTTTGGTTTCGGTTTAAGTAAAAAGCATCTGCCTTGGGCACTGTGTTCTTTCAAGATCTATCTTCATGATCAAATTGACAACAGCAACTTGAAAGATTAAATAAGAAATTTAGGGGGCAGTCAGCTTATGTTAACGGGGAAAGAATAAGTCAGACAAGGAGGGTGAGAATGCTTGCACAGCTTGAAGAATGCAGCCAATATCAATGAACTATACATGCAGAAACTGTTGCATTGGTCTATGCTTTGCTGTGTATATTTTCAACAACAAAATAATTTTTTTTTTTAAAGATTTGAAAACAATAAAAAAAAATTTGTTAGTATGATTGAGGATTTGGCAATTTCTCCTCATACTTCTGTCATTTTGTGTATATTCAGCCTTTATACCTGCAACACACAAGTTCAGAAATGTACCATCTTCCATTCATCATTTTCTGGTGAGCATCTTTAACCCTAACAATATCTGTGCCTTAAAGTCTATTTTGTCTGATTTTGCTGTATTTATCTTCTAGTTAGTTTTAGTAAATCTTTCCCATCTTTTCTACTTTTAATGCTTTTAGCTGTTAAGTGTGCTCTTGTACATAGCATAGAGCTGGACTTTTTTTTTTTTTTTTTTGCCAATATGATACTTCTTTTTAATAGGTGAATTTAAAACACATTTCCTACCCCTGGTTTGGGGCTGTTCCTTATCATCCTTTTCACTCTCTTCCTTTTTCTCCTTTCTGCCTTCTGTTATACTTTTAGCACCCTTTATTACCCTCTTCTCAGTACTGACAGTTATACATTCTATTTCTACTCTTTTTTAAAAAAAAATTGCAGTATTTCCTCCCCTCCCCTCCCACCCCTGGTAACCAACAAAGAAAGTTTCCTTCCATATACAAACCTTTCCTTGACTTTTTACAATAATGAACTAATACTACATTTGTCCTTCTGTGATTGACTTATTTCACTCAGTGTAATGTCCTCCAAGTTCATCTATGTTATGCAGATTCCACATTATTCTTTAGTGTTGCATATTATTCCATTGTGTGTATGTACCATAGTTTGGTTATCCATTCTTCTGTTGATGGGCACCTAGGTTGTTTCCATCTTTTTGATATTGTAAATAGTGATGCGATGCAAATGGGTGTGCATATATCTGTTCTTTTTCGTGGTCACTCTTAACTGTTTACAATACATACTTGACTTTACAAAGATAGACAACTATCAAAATCTTTATTCTCCTCTCAAATAAATCAGACTATTTAGAACACTTAAACTCTGATTAACTTCTCCTGTTTTACATGTTATTGTGTCCTATATACCTTGTTTTTGTACCCTACAAATTAATCATTATTATTACTATTCTAAAGGAGATCTGGTAGTATTCTGATTAAGCATTTAGCTGCTAACCAAAAGGTTGGCAGTTTGAAACCACCAGATGCACAGTCAACCACCCTAATGGACCAACTTGTTGGACCTATGGGCTCAGGACCATGGTCGCAAGGGACATCAAGCTCAATTGGCATAACATACTACACAAAAGCACTGTTCTACAGCCTGTTTTGGTGAGTAGCAACTGGGGTCTTAAAAGCTTGCAAACAGCCATCTAGATGCAACAATAGGTCTCTCTTCATCCAAAGCAAAGAACAAAGAAAACCAAAGATGTGTGCAAACAGTCCAAGAGACTAGTGGACCATATGAACCTCAGCCTATATGACCATGAGACCAGAACTAGATGGTACCCAGCTATCACTATCAACCACTCAGAAAGGGATCAGTGCAGGAGATCCTGAATGTATGGAAGAACAATGTGGGACTAAATTCAAAATCCTAAAAAAAAAGAAGACTAGGTTTACTGATCTGATTGAGCCTGGTAAGACCTCTGAGACTAAGGCCCCTAGTTAACCTTGAGGTCTGGAATTGAACTCACTCCTGTGGCTTCCAGCCAAATAACAGGCATACAGGGTGAACATTTACATCACGTAGATATAGTCCTTAGAAAGATCAATCTTGGGAGAACAGAAGAGCAGTATTTGCACAGGGAGACAGCTCAAGGGGCAGGAATACACAGGAAAAGACACAGGGAAAAGGTAACTACAGGGAGGAAATGGGAAGAGAGCTGTTACATTGTGGGGAGTTGCAGTCAATGTCATGAAACAATGCGTATGAACTGCTGTTTGGAAAATGAATTTGCTCTGTAAACTCTCACCCAAAAAAACTTAAAAAAGAAAGAAAGAAAGAAACTACCAGTCACTCTGCAGGAGAAATGAGGCAGTCCACTTCCATAAAGATTTATAGCCTTGGAAACTCTGTAGACAGTTCTACTCTGTCCTATAGGGTCACTGAGTCAGAAGAGACTCAACGGCTGTGGGTACCACTTTTAAAAGGAGCCCCAGTGGCACAGTGATTAACTGGTCGCCTAACTGAAAAGTCAGCTATTCAAACCCACCAGCTGCTCAGCAGGAGAAAGATATGGCAGTCTGCTTCCATAAACATTTACAGCCTTAAAAACTCTTGAGGGGGCATTTCTACTCTGTCCTATAGGGTTAATATGAGTTGGAATCAATTCCACAGCAATGGGTTTAGTTTTCTAAAAACTATTATTACTGTTCTATATTAAGTGCTTGTTTAAATTTACCTACAAGTTTACCAATTTATGCCCTCACCATTTTTTCACCTTTTTTCTCCCTTCTGGGTTACATGTTCTTGTTCTTGAAGTTCATCCTTTAAAAATTATTCCAGCAATCATCTTGCCAAAATACCTTAATACATCTTTCCTTCTCCTAGACTCTTAAGTTATGAATTAACTATTGGTTGACAATATTTCTCCCTCAGAAGTTGAAGACACTACATTTTATTCTGGCTTTTATATTTGTTACTGAGAAGTCAGCTGTCAGTCTAACGTTTCTCCCACATCCTTTCTATTCGCTCCTTCCGGAACTTGGACCTGTGAATCCTCAGTTTATTATTCATGTTGTTGTTGTTGTTGTTGTTATGTGCCGTCGAGTCGGCCCCGACTCATAGCGACCCCTCCTTGGGTTTCCGAGGCAGTATCACTACGGAAGTAGGATTGCCCAACCTTCCTTCCGAGGAGTGGCTGGTGGGTTTGAACCGCCAGCGGTCTGGTTAGCAGGCAAGTGTCTTAGCCACTATGCTACCAGATATTATTATTCATGTTACTTACTCTTTTTCTTTTCCATCACTTTGTTTTTCTGGATACAATGCTTCTGATCTATCCTCCAGTTCAGTGAGTTTCTCTTCTGCTGTGTCTAACCTGTTTTCTTACCCTATCCACCAAGACTTGAATTTCAATGGCTCCATTTTCCAAGTTCAGAAATTATTTTTAAAACCTATCTTCTTTCCAACGTCTTGCTCTTTCTATACGTTTAAATAGCTCCTCTCCCTCGTTTTGTTCTCTAATTGTAAACTCCATGAAAGCAACAACGACTTTGTTTGGGTCACTGCTGTTACCTCCAGCCCCCAGTACAATCCTTGGAACGCAACAGACTGACTGCGCGTTTGTCCAATGACTTAGAGCGAGAATAGGTGGCAGCTGAGTTACTGCCTGATCCACGCTGTCCTACCGCCATGAGTTACACAACCGAGATTGGGTCTCTCTTCCCTTCTCTCTACCCTTTTCTCACAACGCTCTCGCTGTTTTTCAGTTCTCACCTCAGTCTGGACCTTGGGAAGATGTGTCCGCGCAGACCATGACGTCACAGGGCTGTGACGCTCCCTGGAAGCCCCCACCCCTTCGCGTCGCCGGGCTGGGAATCCAAGCTCTTTGCGCCGTGACGCCACAGACCCGGGCGGGCGGGTTTTGCGTCGGCCCAATGGGAGCCGCGCGCAGGCCACCCCTTTAAGGAATGTTGTGACCTGACGTCACCGGGCGAGTTACCTCCCGGAGCCGCAGCCGCTGGGCTCAGCGCGAACCCCGGAGCCCTTCAACGCGAGGCGAGGAGCCCCCGGAGCCCCCGAACCGCAGCCACATCCCGGCGACGCGCACCCCGAAGCCCCAGCCTGCGCGCCCCGCCGGGCCCGCGCGATGCCCTCGGACCGGCCTTTCAAGCAGCGGCGGAGCTTCGGTGAGGCCTGGCGGGTGATCCACGAACGCGGCGTGGGGGTCGTAGGGGGGCCTGGACCCACTCCGAAATGCTGCTGGTGACGTCATCCCCATGACGTCAGACTCCAGTTGGAGCCCGGGCTGGGAGACAGGCTCCTGCCTGGACCAGGGGTCTCCCACCTCCCCACTCGGTCTTGTGCCAGGGGCAGTGGGCCTGACGACCGGTGGGCGGGGGCTGGAGCAGGCGGGGCGTGGTCGGGGGCCGCCCCTCGGGAACAGGCGGGCGGGGCCGCGGGCATCACCGCGGCCTTGGGCCTCAACGCCCGACGGCCGTCCGCAGCCGACCGCTGTAAGGAGGTCCAGCAGATCCGCGACCAGCACCCCAGCAAGATCCCGGTGAGTCCGCCGCCCCCTCCCTATCCCCGCCCTGCCCCAGGCCCCGCCTCGGGCTCCACAGTGACTCCCCCCCTTTCCCAGGTGATCATCGAGCGTTACAAGGGTGAGAAGCAGCTGCCCGTCCTGGATAAGACCAAGTTTCTGGTCCCCGACCACGTCAACATGAGTGAACTGGTCAAGATCATCAGGTATGCGAGCTGCAGCCGCCCGCTGAAGGGGACCTTGGGCACTTGCATCCGGCTGGGGTTGGGCAGGGGCTGGGTCCCCTCTCAGAAGGGGCTAGGGTGGAGCCAGGGGCCTGGGACCAGTGTCGAGCACCCATTCTGGGAAAGCCAGACCCAAGGTCGGGGATAGGGTCAGTGTGGAGTCAGAGATGAGAGCCTCTTGAAAGGCCTGAGGTGGGTGTGAAGCTAAAGTTGGGAGCCATTCTGGGGACAGGGTCGGGGCTGCACCTGCCCAGGGGCCAGGCAGCTAGCCCACAGTCCACAACCCTCCTGCCCGCCTCAGGCGCCGCCTGCAGCTGAACCCCACGCAGGCCTTCTTCCTGCTGGTGAACCAACACAGCATGGTGAGCGTGTCCACACCCATCGCAGACATCTACGAGCAGGAGAAGGACGAGGATGGCTTCCTCTACATGGTCTACGCCTCCCAAGAAACCTTCGGCTTCTGAGCCTGCAGTAGGGGGAAAGGGGTTTAGCCTGGGAGTTGGGGGGGCCGGTCAGGCTCTGCCCAGGGAGCCCCTGTCTCTTGAACTGAGTAGCCTCTGGCCCTGGTGGGCTGGGCAGGGATGTGACCACCAACCGTGCCTGCTCTGCCCCTGGGTGGATCCTGGGCCAGTCACTTTAGGGTTGCCCCTCTGGGTGCTGCCTGGGATGGGGGAGAGTGGGAAGCAATGCCCCGCATCCCTGCTCTGTGCAGTTTGTCTTTTTTTTTTAGGCCCCTGCCTGTCTGCCCATCTGTCCCTCACCCACATGAGGCGCTGCCCCCTGCCTGGACCTGCTTACCCCTAAGGAGTGGCCCCCCGGCTCCCCGGGTCTTGACATGGTGTATAGATCTGTGGTTACTGTCCCTCTGCAGAATAAAGATTGCTCAGGCCTGCCTGGCCCTCTGCCTCCAGCTGCTTGCTTGGGGGGTAGGAAGGGCTGCTGATGGGACTGTTCAGAACCATTTTCATCCTACAGGGTACAGGCATGTGTTCTGTGAACTCAGGGCTCATTTAGAAACCCATGTCTGTGTGTACACTTGGTGTTATTAGGTGCCATTGAGTCCGCTCTGACCCTGTGACAGTAAAACTTCTCCACAGGCTTCTCCTCATGGAAGCACACTGCCGGGTCTTTCTTTCACAGAGCTGCTAGGTGGGTTTAAACTGTCTACCTTTAGTACCATAGCAGTTTTAGGGGCTAAGCCCACCTTCTCCAGGCATGCACTGTGGTCCCAGAATAGACTGGTTTATAACAAAAAACATTTATTAAGTGGCCATAACCCAACAAGCCCTGCCCACTTGGTTCTTCCCCCTTTCCACCTGGGGGTGGCTCCTTGGTGTGCAGAATCACAAAGTGGGGGTGCACCTGGCTCTTCTCCACGGGCCTTGCTGCCAGCCATGGCACCCCTCTGGTGCCAGGAATTTGTGATCCTGGACTTGAACACCATCTGCCCAGGGACTAGCCTGCTGACAATCGTGGCCGGAAGGCATAGCCCAGCTCCCAGCCTTTCTATCCCTTCGAAGTCTGTGCAGCCTTGTGCCTAGCCAGGCCTACTTGAGCACAAGCATGGCTTCCGTGCCGTCCTTGGTGGTCAAATAGAGACCGTGTGTGAGGTAGTACTCTCGCCGCAGGAAGGCGTAGAAGTAATCAGAGATGAGCAGGATCTGGAGGGAGAGAGGGGATGTGAGAAGCTGGGGAGCACCTCGCTCTGAACCCAGAGTCCCTGAGGAGTTGGGCAGCTGCTAGGAGACGGGAAGGCCCAAGCCCAGCATCTCCATCAAGGCCCCAGCCTATACCTGGATAATAGCCACTGGGAAGACACTGCTCAGGGGCCCCCCACCTTAGGGTCCACCCTTGGCCCTGCAAGGTCTTGGCCCCTCAAAAGATGCCTGTACCATGCCCCCTTTTCCTCCCATGATCCCCATCTCCCATCTGTGGCCTCTGAACACCAGACTGGTCCATCTGCATCCACAGGGCCTCCACCTTACCAGGGTGTGCTCCACAGGCCCCCCCACCCCACCTGAACCCACGTCAAACTTGCCTCCCTCCCTTTCAAATCTGTTTCTCCTACTGGGCACACGTGCCCCCATCTTCCACCTGGGTGCCAAGGCCACAGAATTATTTGACGCTTCTCACCCCAACATCCCATCCCCCTCATCCAGTAAACCACCAAGTCCTCTCAGTTGTACCTCTTAAACTGTTTAAGAGTTCTGTTCATTCCCACGGCCAGCACTCTGGACAAAGCTACTGTCAACTCATAATACAGTAAGGCCTCCTCCTTCAGCTCTCTAATTTCAAAACACTCCCCTCCAGTCCATTCCCCTTAGAATTGGAAGGAACTTTGCAAAAAATGTAAACCTGGTCATGTTATTTTCCAGCTTAAAGTTCCCCAAGGGCCGTCCGTGGCTTCCTCACTGGGCCTCTCCTCCTGCTGCAGATCCCCTGCCGTGTCCTCGGCAATGCTCTTTCCTTTCATCTCTCAGGGCTTTTTTGCCAGGAAGGACCACTTTCTGAGAAGCTCTCCTTTATTCCCAGATTAGGTCTTGGCCGTATCTGCCTCTATATGGTAACACAAACTCATCCAGATTGCAATTTTACATTCATCTGTGTGACTGCTCCATGACCGTGGTCTCTTCACTGGACGGGAAGCTCCACTGGGGCAGGTTCCCTGAGTGGGATGGCTCACCACTGGATCTCCCTGCCCAGCTCAGTGTGTCTTTCTCGTCCTGGGCTACCAAATCAAAAGGGTCCTAGACGCGTGGCTCACAATCCCCCACACTGAGATCAAGAGAAGATCAGGGATTTGCTAGGATCACCTCCACACAGGACCCAGAGTTGTTCAATCCCACCCATCCCAAGCTGCCTAAGACCTCCAGTGCCTACAGCAGGAGAGGCAGGGGCCCAGGCCCACCACTGCAGCCACCAATAGTTCACAGGCACTTACAGGGCCAGCACTAGAGTATCAGCACCAAACACTGCCAACCACCCTCATGGCACAGACAGGGAGACTGAGGCCCAGAGCAGAAGAGGTGCTCAGCTAGGGTTTTAGAAATTAAGCTGAGCCTGGGATCTAGGCCACCAGCCCCCAGCACCTGTACTTTTCTCACTCACCCTAAGAGCAAGCAGTTAAACACACTGTGGGCAGGAAGGAAAACATGGAGAGGCCTGGAGGAGTTCAGGGAGGTGAACATCACTGTCAGTGATGGGCTCAGGGCAAGTACTTGCCATTCTTACACCACAGGAGCCTCTCTGAGGGTTTGATCCAAGGGTTTGATCCCTGTCTTACAGATGAGGAAACAGTCTCAGTCCCTCCAAGTGGCCACAGGCCTGCAAGGTGATGCACCTGGGGCCCAGGCTGACCAAGGGCACAGGTGTCAGAGGAGCACCCAGAGCCCAGGCAGCCCCTGGAGGTCTTGCTCCACAGCTGCCCAGAGTGGCCTCCAAGGTGGGGGTGGTATCATGGCAGATGCTAATCTCATACCCTGCAACAGGCTTTTTCACTCATGCCCTAAAATGCCCTGGCTGGGAAAGAAGAGCCCGTGCAGTGCCTGGGCTGCTGAGGGAAACCGTGAGCCAGGTCAGATGAGAGGCAGATCCTAAGTCACAATTCATAACAAAACAAAATGAGGCAACTCCACTGTTACACAACAACAAGTTAGACAGGAAGTAGGAAGTGACAATATGTATTAGGTTAAATTATATAAAACTGTCATTTTTATAGATCAAAAATGGTTGCATCATTGGCAATTTCATATAGTTCAATCTAATATAAAATGGAGGGAAAAAAAGCAAGAAATACAAATAGTATACATGTTATTTAGAAGTACCAAAAGAAATAACTATAAAATTTTAAGGGGCTATTCTTTTTCCTTATATGCCTTATTAGGAAATAAAAATTTGATAAAAATAAAATTCAATTAAAAACAAGCACCCAATAAAAAACTGAATAAATAAATAAAAGGAGAAGAGACAAATCTTCCTTATGGAAGAATTGCAATAACATATGCAGATACTCCAGGAGGTGGAGCTTAACTACTACCCAAACCCCAACTATGATGGCTAGACTTGGTGACTCACTTCCAAAGCGTGGTACAGGGAGTTACTTGGTATGCCCCTTCTAGCCATGGTTTTTGTGACTCCCACCAGATGATTGGGTGGGACTATGCCCATGTAAGGTGCTTGTGGCCCACAAAGGGGATCGGATAGCTTGTTCCAAAAACCAAAAAACCAAACTCATTGCCACTGACTTGGATACAACTCAAAGCGACCCCTCCTTGGGCTTCCATGGCAGTATCACTACAGAAGTAGATTGCCCAACCCTGCCTTCCAAGGAGTGGCTGGTGGGCTTGAACCGCCAGCCTTCTGGTTAGCAGTCAAATGCCTTAGGCACTATGCCACCAGAACTCCCTGACAGCTTGTTAGTAATGTAAATAAGGTGCATGGCACCCTTGTGTTGGTGGGACCATGTAAATAAGGTGTATAGAACCCTAATGCTGGGACTGGTCTGGTGGTGTAGTAACTAAGGCATCTGACTGTTAACCAGAAGGCTGGCAGTTCAAACCCACCAGCCACTCCTCAGAAGGAAGACTGGGCAATCTATTTCCATAGAGATACTACCTGAGAAATCCAAGGAGGGGTGGCTATGAGTTGGGATCAACTCGACGGCAGTGAGTTTGGTTTTCGGTTTCTAGGCTTAAAGTGGGAGCTATGGTGGCAGAGTGCCTAAGGTATTTGACTGCTAACCAGAAGGCTGATGGTTGAAACCCACCAGCCACTGCTTGGAAGGAAAACTGGGCACTCTACTTCCAAGATACTGCCTCAGAAACCCAAATCAACTTGACTGCAGTGAGTTTTTTCTTTTCTTTTTTTTTTTTTTAGGCTTAGAGTGAGCCCTCCAAGAAGCAGAAGAGGGTAATCTCACTGCTATCAAAAGAAAAAAAAAGCCAGAGCTGGAGTGGAGTCCATGCTTGGACCTGAGATCCCTGCACTGGACCTTCTTGGCAGAAATTTGGCAGAGAGACTGGCATGAGCATCGAGAGACTGGCACAAGACAGGGTGGTGGGCTTGCCAGCCCACAGAGTGAGAAAGCTGAGTGCCTTTGGGGAGGAGGCTTGAAGGCCAAGTGGGGTGCACCTAGGTATACTTATTGGCAGAGCTAAATGAGCTTTGAAACATTTTCCTGAGCAGCAGAGGCCAGGCTGAGAGGCATGCCTTTGGACATGGCCAAGGGGAGGCAGTCCTGATTGAAAAAATTTATCCTAAGCGTTCCTGAACCTGAAATGTAACTTGTTTCTTCCTCATGAACACCATAATTGTGAGTATTGTCCATGAGTTGTGTGTGGCCACTGCAATGAGTTACTGAACCCAGCAATGAAACAGTGCCATGGGAGGGACAGTTGGTGTCAGAACTGGTAAAAAGGTGGGAAGGTGGCTTCATAGGAATCAGCTTTGAGCTGATGCTGTTGACCCTTCTCTCTCCCCTCATGAAGGTAGAAGAGATCAGAAAAGGATGCACCCCCATGCCCTTTTTGCACAAAGAATAACGCTGGGAAAGAGAAAATACTAACTTTATAGTGCAGAAACCTGTCAACCGCTACCTTAACCAAGTGATGACGGTCAGCATCATCAGTGATGTCACATGGCTAGCATGTACCCCTGATATGATGAGATGTGTTCTTTCTAAAAGCTCATAATGTCAGTGTAATTATGAGAAAAGACAAACCCAAATTGAGTGACACTGGACAGGATAACTGGCCTGTATTTCTTAAGAGCATCAAGGTCATGGAAAATAAGGGAAGATTGAGTTCTATCACAGAGCAGAGGACACTGGGAGACCCAACAACTAAATGCGATGTGTTCCTCTGGACTGGCTCCTGGAACAGAAAGAAGCCATTCATTGAAAAGCTGGTGAAATCAAATTCAAGTCTGGAGTTTAGTCAACAGTAATTTATCTGTAAGAAGCCCTGGTGGTACAATGATTAAGCACTCAGCTGCTAACAGAAAGAGTGGCAGTTCAAACTCACCTAGTGGCTCCACGGGAAAAAGACCTAGTGGCCTGCTCCCATAAAAATTACAAGTAGTCAAATGTGGATGGCAGAATCTAGGCGGTGGGTTAGATTTAGCTGTTCAATGCAAAATCTTTCAACTTTGTTGGGTGTTTGAACACTTTCATATTAAAGTGTCAGGAGAATAGAGAGGCCTGTGTGCTCACTTGAACTGTCTGGAACTGAAGGTCACCATCTCCCAAAGAATGGGCATCTCCACGGGCACCACATACCCTGGAGGCTTGGCTCTTTCAGAGAGAAGGGTTTGGCTGAAACAACCTCTTCTGACCTCGGGGCTTTCCATTTGGACTGTGAGGAGAAGGGATTTCCCAGAGCCCCAAGGATTCAGCTAACACTACAGCTGCAGACTCAGAGCCCCCTTGCCCAGTCTGGGCAGGGCGAAGTTGGGCAAGAAACAGAGGAAATAGCATGGGCTAGTTAGTGGCTCTGTGACCCAATGGAAGTCACTTCCCGTTCCCTACGCTTCATATGTCTTACCTGGAAAATGAGTTTTTTACTCACAAAGATGGGCTCCCCTAGTCCTTGTCCTGGACTTAGAGGCTCCAAAGCATGTCTGCCCTTCTGTCCCCACAGGGACCAGAGAGCAGCCCTGTTCTCTG